CTGATGACTGAAAGTAGTATTGGTCAGTCCTTCCAGTTTGGGTCCAGCCCCCAGCCACTCTATAGGTGCAGGGGTGGGTGAGTGACCTAAGCCTAGTCAAGTCGGAAAAATCACTGGGGGACTTCCCTGGTGACACAGTGGTTAAGAATCTGCCTGCCAATGCAGGGGACACGGGTTCGAACCCTGGTCTGGAAAGATCCCACATGCCACAGAGCAACTAAGCCCGTGCGCCACAACTACTGAGCCTGTGCTCTAGAGCCCGCGAGCCACAACTACTGAGCCCATGTGCTGCAACTACTGAAGCCCCCACACCTAGAGCCCATGCTCCGCAACAAAGAGAAGCCAACGCAATGAGAAGCCCGCGCACCGCAACGAAGAGTAGCCCCTGCTCGCCGCAACTAGAGAAAGCCCGTGCGCAGCAATGAAAACTCAACGCAGCCATAAATAAATAAATAAATTAGAAAAATCCCTGGGGTCCTTTTTGTCAAGAAATTGCTTTTAAAAAAAAAAAAAAGCGCTTGCTTCCTGTTGGGTTATATCTAGTAGAACAGAAGCTTAGAGCTTTGCCAGTGGTTGAGAACAGGTTGCCTAAAATGAAGCCAGCATAGAGAAAAGCAGCCTAATCTGGAGTGAGATTGTTACTGAAGAGAATTTTTGAACTGCAACACCAAGCTTTATCGCATCTACTCATCAGTCTTTTAGTTTCATAGGTCAAATGCTTCTCCTCTTCATTAAGCTAATTTGAGTTAGGTTTTTGTTACTGACTCCACTTATGCTAGTTATCTTACTTATCTTACACCTAGGAGGGTGTTTCAACTCACATTTAATGTCTTTCTTTCTCCATTTGTTTCAGCATTTTCAACGATAATTTTCTCAGCATTTATAAGGTGGGAATGAAGTTTGGTGCTGGGAATATAAAGAGGAATAGGAGACTCTGCCACCCTCTAACTCTCAATGCAATAAGGGAAATGAATGTACAAATAGAATTTTTTTTTTTTTTGGCCCCACAGCTTAGTTCCCTGGGAGAGGGATTGAATTCGTGCCCCCTGCAGTGGAAGTGCAGAGTCCTAACCACTGGACCACCAGGGAAGTCCCAACAGATAGAAAATTTTTAGGAAAGCTTGATAAATACCATGGCAAACCATTCCCAAGGTATCAGGAGTGAGGAGGGACACCCAGTGCAACTCTTATATAGAGTGGCTTTATGAGAGACATCAGACAAGTTTTCCTAAAAGAAGTGCTCATTCACATTAGTCTTAAGGATAAGGAATTTTCCAGGTAAAGGGGGAACACTGAGGGGTGGAAAACATTCCAGGACAGGGCCAAATGGGCAAAGGCATGGCTATTAAAAAGAGCATGGGAATACTGGGAGAGCAAGTGGCTCATGCAGATGGAGCTCACTCTGCGAGCAAGGAGAGGGGAGAGACTGAGGCAGGAGCAGGTGGGAGGGCTCAGACACTGGAGGCCACGTGCCCATAGGATTCTGCTTGTCCATCAAGACCCAGTTTGGTGTTGCCTCCATCGGGAAGTCTCTACATGCACCTCAAGGTGTTTCCATAGCCCTCTTGCACGGACTACACCATGACCTTTATCAGCTCTCTACCACGGGGAGGGGGAAAGGCTAGGGTAACCTAAAGCTTCACAGAGTGTGTGGAAAATGAGAGGTGGTAGATACTGGAAAAGATTAATAAGCAGAAACCTCAGTTAAATAGAGTTGAGAGACCAGAAGGGGGAGCTCTCACACCCTGGGACAAGAGCAGAGCCCAAGAGGAAGAAAAAAGACTCCTTTCCTGGCAAGGACATGATCAATGACAATCCGTGGACTCTGTTTACCATAGCCCCCCAACTTCCTTCTCCTATCTATAAAAGTGTTCCTTTTTTTTTTTTTTTTGCCGTACGCGGGCCTCTCACTGTTGCGGCCTCTCCCGTTGCGGAGCACAGGCTCCGGACGCGCAGGCTCAGCGGCCATGGCCCACGGGCCCAGCCGCTCCGCGGCATGTGGGATCCTCCTGGACCGGGGCACGAACCGTGTCACCTGCATCGGCAGGTGGACTCTCAACCACTGCGCCACCAGGGAAGCCCAAAAGTGTTCTTCTTTTGCCACGTGGGGACTTGCACGCAGCTTGCCGTGGTTACAGATCCCCAATTTGCAGTTCTCTGCTAATCTCAGGTAAACCCATCTTAGCTGAAGAAATATCTGACAGTCTATTTGTTTGACGTCAAAAATATTAAATCAAAAGACATTTATGAAGCACACACAATATACAAGAGACTGTGGTCAGTTTTGCAAAAGACATGTAGTGGGTAAAGCTGAAACATGAACTTCTTCACGCATACTTTCTTCTGCAATAGAGCTAGTCTTACCTTCTGTTCCTATAGTAAAGACAGCCTGGTGGTTTCAAAGTCTATGATTATTTAAATTCATTTCAACTAACTCTGAATACCAACTAATATATTAGATTTGGGCGTTATTCCAAGGCTTCTAAAGAATCAATTTCAATATAAGCTTTGTATTTCCATTTTCTTAAGATTGCTTTTTAAACTTTTAGAGAAGTAATTAAATTACATTACATATAGTATAAGCCAAAGAAAGACAGAAATGCCAAAATTACCAAAGAATACGTCAAGAAATAGATATAGGAAATGAGGAAATGTCTCTGTGGAAATGTTTTTTATCACACTTGGCTGTGATGGGCATGAAACACCATGATGACCCTGCTTTGATGCTTCCTGTATTGTGGAAGCAAAATTTAGGAAGTTGAGAAATTAGTTATAAACCACAGCACGCACATCAAGTACAGTGATATGTTACATATTTCAGCTAGGAAAGTTACAGTCTTCAAAAATCTTGATGATCGGAGAATATCTTCTGTAACCTTTCAGAATTTAAAAATCTGTTGATACATTCTTTATGGCTCATATATGCTCCCTTTTAGAAAATGTTATCTGTGTGTTGGAAAAACAAATGTGATTTATGCAATTGTTAGGTGAAGCATTCCTATGTGTTTTCTTCAGGCCAATTTGGTTGGTCATGTTGTTTAACTCTTCTATACTGTTACTGATTCTTTACTGCTTTGTCTATTAAGTATTGACAGAGGTTTGTTAGAATTTTTAACTATGACTGTGGTTTCATCTATTGCTTCTTTTAGTGTTTCTCTGTTTTGCTTTATATATTTTGATAATATGATATTAAGTTCATAAGATTTTAGAATTATTTTTGTCCCTTGTAAAATTGCCACCTTTTTATTTTATATTTTTGGCCATGCCACAAGGCATGTGGGATCTTACTTCCCCAAACAGGGATCAAACCTGTGTCCCCTGCTTTGGAAGCACGCAGTCTTAACCACTGGACCACCAGAGAAGTCCCACCATCTTTTTATTTTAAATCAGCCTTCTTTGTCTCTGACTACCTCTTTCCTTAAGTCTTAACGTATTAATTTGGTCTTAAGTATTCATTCATTAAGTATGTATTCATGCCAAGTTTCTTTCAGTTGGTTTTTACATGATATAATACTTTCAATTATTTTCATTTCAAGCAATCTGGGTCTTGATATTTAAAGTATGCCTCTTTTAAGCAACATAGATTTTTTTGTCTTAATTACACAGCCTGGTAATTTTTGACTTTTAATTGGAGTGTTTATTCCATTTAAATTTACTATAATTCTTAATATAGTTGGATTTAAGTCTACTATCTTGCTCTTCTAGTTGTCCTATCTTTTTAAAAATAAACTTTCAATTTGGAATAATTTTAGATTTACAAAATATTTGTATGGATAGTACAAGGAGTTCCTGTGGAACTTTTGCCCAGTATTTCCTAATGTTGATATCTTACATGATTATAGTACACTTGTCAAAACTAAGAAATTAACATTGGTACATTACTGTTGACTAAACTCCAGTCTTCCTTCAAATCTCGTCAATTTCCATTAGTGTCTTTTTTCCGATTCCTGGATCCAGTCCAGCACACCACATTGCATTTAGTCCTCATGTCTCTTTTTTCTCCTCTGACCTGTGGCAGATTCTCAGTCTTGTCTTGTCTTTCATGACTTTGACGGTTTTGAAGAATACTCATTAGTTATTTTGTAGAATGTTCCTCCATTTGGATTTTTAGGATGATTTTTTTCACGATTATACTGGGGTTGTGGGTTTGGGGTGAGAATATCATGGAGATGAAGTGCCCTTGTCATCAAATCATATGGGGGAGGGGTAACATGATATTCACATGACGTAAGCGGTCATAATAACCTTGAGCTCTTGGTTAAGGTCTGTCTGCCAGATTCTCCACTGAAAGGATATTGTTTTTCCCTTTTCCTTATCTCTTTTTTGGAGGTAAGTCACAAAGTCCAGCCCAAACTCACGTGGGGAGGGGAATTAAACCCCACCTTCAAGAGGCTTTACTTATATTATTAGGCATTCTTCTGAAAGGAAGCCATCTCTCCCTGTGCCATCTGTTGTTTTGTTCCTTTATTCCTTAATTTTTGTCTACTTTTGTATTATTCAGGTATTTTCTTTTATCCCATTTTATCCCCTTTTCAGAGTTTTAATCCAAAATTTTGCATTCCCTTTTAATGGTTGCCCTAAAAAATTACTATATGCTTGCCACAGTATAATTTTCCTTAATACTTTCTCTAACAGTTGAAGAGATGTATCATATTCTAAATCCATTTATCTCCCTACCTATCATTTGTTATTTTTGTCATGTATTTTACTGTACAGTATGCATTTATCTCCATTGGTCATTATTATTGTTCAATAGCACAAACTGTTTGAGTTCTTAGGAAGAATCCATTTTTCTATCCTTTGCTCCCAGCTTCATTAAAAGGAAAAGAATTGCATAATTGTTTGAAAAACCACTACCATAACCATTTAATAGGAGCTCTTGTTGAAATATTGATAAAAATTCAACAGTTTATGAAGAAGTAGTTTTGAATAACAAATTGGTCAGTGTGAAAAACAGCAATATTTTATATAAAACTAGGATTCTCAAGGTGGTTGGGGAGGGTAGAGTGCCAAGTACTCTTTCCTGAGTAACAGAAAAGTAAGGGAAGTAACAGCCAGAAGCAGGCATAAAGTTAGGTAGAACCTAAGTCTAACTGTATAATACCTTGGGGGCACCTAGGAGGAACCAAAGATCAAGATGAATAAAACAAAACCTAAGCATGTTATTTTTTTTTGCAAAACCTTTATTTTCGTGGCATTTAAAAAAATTTAACAATAGTTTTAACTTCTCTGTTCCAAAACAAAGAGAAACACTATATAATGAACATTAAACAAGGCATTATGCCCTACAAGAAAGACATAAAATGTCCAAGGGAAGCTTCAACATAAAAATGTTGACCACATAAAGAGATCATTTCAATAAATAATAACTGACATTGTTTTAAACAAGTACAAACATAGATGTGCACACACTTTCCCTGATTCTCATAGTGATCTCACTGTCCAATTGCGTGGATCCCCTCTTGCACCCACCCCCTCCACCTCTATCACAGTGCCTGGCACTTTATGGTCTCCCAATAAATATCAGTTTAATGAGACATTTAGAACCCGTCATCCTCATATTAAATAACAATCAGGACTGAGTTAAGTTTGATTAAACACATTGAAATCTTTAAATACTAACATGTAAAATATTAAAATGAGCTATAAAAATAAATAAATACATGTATAAATAAATAGAACTCATAATAAAAAATAGTCCAGCACATCAAGTCCCTTCTTGGTGTCCCCAGAAGCCAGCTGTTCTCTTCTTCATTTTCAGTTCCTACAAGAGCAGAGACCGCTCTTCAGGAAATGCCCTATGAGCTTCTTACTTCTCTCTAGGTCAGTTGGTGCTGCCCCTGTGATGAGAAAAGGGTTAGTGTTCAGGTGCTGAAGAAAGCTGCTTTTCTCTTTCAGGCCCTTGAGGCTCGAGGGACTTCTGCATGTAGACCCTGGCCCAGCTCTGCACTCAGAAAAGGTTCCTGCTCAAAGGGGTTAAAGACCTTTCACAGGTATCCTAGACTTGACCTCAGGGAGGTCTCACTGAAAAGTCCCTGCTCTTCACTAGTAAGCTTCAGAGGCCCATGTTGCCCAAAACCAGAGGTTCCACATTCAGGTAGAAACCATTGAGGAATGGAGGTAAACAATGTTTGTTCCTTAATGGGTCCGAAGCATTTTACCATCCCTGGCTAAATCTACTTTATCTTTTAGGAACATACCCACACTCATTTGAATAGGGATGGAGAGGGGGATAAGGACAGAGAGCCCTGGAAATACCCTTCTGACACAGAGCACATCAAATTTAATGGGGAAATAATAATGATTTTCAGTCCTGCAACTAAACCATACGTTTCTCTAATAATATTTTCAGGAGGTAGATGCCAGTATTTGTGACCAATGGCTCTAGTTGCAAGTGGGAATAAAATCCATAACTCACTTGTTTAGCATCTTGTTGATGATTTTTTTAACCATGGGAGCTTCAGGGTTGAGGCAAACTTCCTGACCAGCCTTGAGAGTGGCTCTGCAGAGAGAAGGGAGAATCCACGTGAGGTCGGGCTGGGGGTCGGGGTGGGGTCGTCGGGAAGGCGGGGGTGACAAGCACAGCAACAGCGGCGGCACTTACACGACTTCCGTTTGGCCGCAGTGGGGTCCCGGGGGCGTCACCTTCACGCTCTGGATGTTCTTGAAGTGAATCCCCTGCACGGTCTGCAGGCACCGGCAGCGCAGTTCGGTGACCACAGGCGCCCCTGCGGGGAGGACAGACTCGGTCAGGGGGCTGTCCCGGGATGGGCCCCCACCCGCCCCCGTCCCGCCCTGGGGATGCCGGGCGCCGGGTCGCACCTGCTGCGTGCCGGCCGGCGGCCACCAGAACCAGGAGCAGTAGCGCGGCGCGGAGGAGCCGGGCGGCGGCGGGGTTCGCGGCGCGGGCCATGGGGTTCAGCTCGGAGGGTCGCTGCCTGCGGCGGGAAGGCGGGCTGGAGGGCTGGCGTAGCGGATTCTGTGGCTCCCCGAGCCGGGCGAAGCCCTTTTATGCCGATCGGACAGGGGCTGGCAGCCCAGGGCCAGAGAAATTCCCCGACGCACGTGGAGTTCCCGGGTCCGGAAGGAGGGTGCGGCCCCGCGGGCCTCCCGCGTAATCCGCGCCCTCGAGGAGGACGTGGGGTGTCGTCTCTGCGCCGAAATCCCCGCAGGGGGAGTGAGTCGCCAGCACCCCTGGGGTACCGCCTGCGAGGGCGGCCGTGGGCTCCTGGCCACCCCTGGTCGCGGGCGGTGAGTGTCAGACTGGTTAGACCAATACAGGAACTGCAGCACAACTTTAGGGCGAGAGTTAACTTCTTTTTTTTTCTAAATTTATTTGTTTATGGCTGTGTTGGGTCTTGGTTGCTGTGCACGGGCTTTCCCTAGTTGCGGCCAGCGGGGGCTACTCTTAGTTGCGGTGCGTGGCTTCTCTTGTTGAGGAGCATGGGCTCTAGGTGCGCGGGCTTCAGTAGTTGTGGCATGTGGACTCAGTAGTTGTGGCTCACGGGCTGTAGAGCGCAGGCTCAGTAGTTGTGGCGCACGGGCTTAGTTGCTCCGCGGCATGTGGGATCTTCCCGGACCAGGGCTCGAACCTGTGACCCCTGCATCCGCAGGCAGATTCTTAACCACTGTGCCACCAGGGAAGTCCAAGAGTTAACTTCTTCTAAAGACACTTCTGTTTTGGAGAGTGGAAGAGTTGACGCTGGAATGGCAGCCTTATTTTGTCTCTCTTCTTCCTCTTTAAGTTGGGTTTTGTAGATTTTATTTATCCCTGGAATAAACACACTCTTTAAAATTACATCTGTCATCTCAGTTTGTGTGTAAGAATGTTTGTCGAATTCTTGGAGTTTTGGGATCTCAAATAAATCACACTTCATGCCATTGTTTTTACCAGGTTGGGCCTGGGGGTAGGCCATTGAACAGGTTAATTCACTGTTTATTTTAAGATACAGTGTTGTAATCTCTTATCTGCCCTCTCTTTGAATTTCTGGAATTTAGTCATTACAGGAGCGCCACTTTTTGTTCTAAAGGAGGCTGTGTTTTCACTCATGACAGTTACACGGGTGTTGAAAGGGGCTCAGGAGGTCCATTCCCCTTTTCTAGGCTTGTCCGTGGACAGAAAAGATCATAAACATCAGAAAGCTAGTACCTAGTGGTTCCTGACTTTACTATTGATGCAAGCAGCAAACAGATATGGTTTTCGACATACATAAGCACTAGCTTACTAGTATATTTCACTCCAGGTTGCCTGAATTTGCCTGTTTCCTGGGATTGATTCTCTCTCGAGTATCAGCTATCAATGTACTTACATTTCAGATTCTATGTAACTGAGGCCTCACTTTCACCATCAGTTCCAATATCCCTTTTGGATTAAACAGCAGATGGTTTAAGTTGATCCTCCTGGATCAATGAGGACCTCGGGGATGTGTGTGACATTCTGTGGTTGCTGTGAGAAGGATTGGGGAGCTGAGGGAGTGGGTCTGCCTCAGGAAGAGCTGAGAGTTTGTCAGGCAGTCAGGGCTGAAGTCTCAGCTGTACACTTACTTGCCACATGGCCATGGGACCACGGGGAATTATTTAATCTCTCTCTGCTCTCGCTTTCCCTCTGTTTAAGAGAGCTAATGATAGTGCCTGCCTCACAGAGTTGTTATGAGTATTAAATGTGTTAACGTTTGTAGAAGAGTAGCACATACTAAATGCTGTATAAATATTTATTAAATAAACAAAATAGAAGTGTTTTACAACCTTAATGTTATAGACTAGATGTTTGGGTCCTCCAAAATTCATATGCTGAAGCACTATACTTCATTGTGATGGTACAAGAAGTTGGGGCCTTTGGGAGGTAATTCAGTTTATATGAGGCCATCAGGGTGGGGTTCTTATGATGGGATTAGTGCCTTTATAAGAAAAGACACCTGGAGAACTTATCGTCTCTTTCTCTCTGCAATGTGAGGCTACAGCAAGAAGGCAACTATCACTATGTGCAAACCAGGAAGAGGATTCTCACCAGATACTGAATCTGCAGACACTTTGATCTTGCTTCCCAGCCTCCAGAACTGTGAGAAATAAGTGCTTGTTATTTCAGTCACCTAGTGTATGATATTTTGTTATAGCACCTGACCTGATTAAGGTACTTACATGAACAGCAATGGTCTATGATGAATCCTTATGTAAGCAGAAAAAATATTTTTTTTTTTCAAAGAAACATCTGTGAATTTATCTTTAAAAATTTTTCAGCATTAGAAATTTTGTAAGAGGAATGCATCTGTATTCTTTGGGAATCTTGGAATAGATTTTTAAAATCCATTGTTTGAAATTTTGCTTTCAATTACTTCCCACATAAAATAGGAATAAGAGTAAAATTCTGCCCAATTCATTTATGGGAAAATATTTAAGAAATGACTGTCTGCCTTGGGCATTAATAACTAGCTCCTCAAACAATGAAAAGTATTAGCTCTAATGATTCCCAGACCCAACCCAAAGACGTGAGTAAACACCCAGGAAGAGTAGAATTTCAGCTTATTTACAGTAGCAGCCAAAATGATGAGATACTTCAACTCACTACCTGTAGAATTATCTATAATGTGACTCCTAGAACTTGTTAAATTAAAATCATTTGCTTTCAGGAAGGGATAAGAAAGACTTTTTTTTCTTTTATAATGTACCTCTTTCCATTATTTAATTCATGACAGCCCCATAGTAAGTTTCAGAAAATTTTAAGAGCGCCAGTGTTATGAAGTCTATCATGATAAGCAAATTTCTTCTTGTGTTAACATGTCCCGAATGCCTCTTTTATAGGTACAAGCTATAAACCAATGCAATCACTAACTCAATGAAGTCATCTCTAAGATAGGAGCTCAGCTTCCTAAATTCCATTCTACCCTGTAATTTTTATTGTATCTTTGAGATTTGACTAATACAATGTACTATGCTTGCAAAATCTGGGGTCGTTGTTCCATGCTGAAAACTGACCTTGCTAATTGGCCAGCAAGAATGAGTGTTGTGGCTCTGCTTTATCCTAGCTTACCTTGAGAGCTTTGCCATTGACACTACCACCCCTCCCATTTCCTAACAGCTATAGTTTGTGTATAACGTTTCTGGTTCTACACTGAAGGGAGAAAATGAAGATGACTGAACATGCTACTATTGATAGATCCCAAGATTTCCCATCCCTCTAAGAGCACTTAGTTGAACATCATTGCTAACTTCCCCTTCCAAGCTCTACTACAACTGCTATTTCTATCTGTCTCCTTCCTGGCACCGACCTTCCTTTTTTTTTTTTTTTTTGGCCACTCCGGAGCAGTGTGTATCTTAGTTCACTGACCAAAGGCCCAACCGGCACCCTAGGGAGTGAAAGCGTAGTCCTAATCACTGGACCGCCAGGGAATTCCCCTTCCTTCTTCTTAAAACAGAGCCCTGGTTTTCCTTTGGAAATCCTCACCCCTGCCCTTGTCAGTCCATGTGATTAAGGTGCGGTGACTTCAATTCTGAGCTGAAGACGGGGAGCTTGTGACCCTAAGGCAGTGTTGTTCCCTGCTTCCTACCTATGCCCTTGCCCAAGCCAATATGGGTTCACAATGGAGCCAATGAGTTAAGATTGACCAATGAGACAATGCCACTTGTGCAGGAACAGAGGGAACTGAAATGCTCTTGCTTCTTGCTGGGATTGCTAAACTGGTAAAATGGAAACCCAAGGTCTTGCCATGACTTGGGGAAAGCTTGCCTGAGAGTAGACTGCCACAGAGGAAAGCACAGACCTGGCCTGCACAGACAAGATTTTTGAAGATGCTTGAGCACCTAAGTCTAGCATTGTCCTATCTAATCCTTTGACTTTCACTGTTATATAGCAATAGATTCTCTTCTCTTGTTCAGCCAGTTTGAGTTGTAATTCCATCACTCGCAGTGAAAGAGTTCTGAAAAATACCTCCGTCTTTCATATTGCTTCTAAAGTTATCTTTCTAACAGACTGATTTCTTCACTATTTAAATCCTTCCTTCCCTTCTTTTCTCCATCTATTCATTTTAAAGTTAGCACTTATGAGTTTGGAAACATGCTATGTTCAAGGACTACAAAAAGTTTAAGATTCATTCCATTATCACAAAACTTTCAGTCTAACAGGAGAAGCAGACATACATACAGAAAATTATGAAGCAGCCTGGTAAATCCCATGAAGAGTATGTCCAGGGTATGATAGGAGCATAGCGGTGGGATACCTGACCTTTTTTCTGAAGGGGGTGGGCCAAACTCTCAGAGAAGAACTTCAGAGAACCTTCTCTGGAGGGAAGGTGCCTCTTGAGTTGAGTCTTAAAGGATGGATGAATTTTTCCCAGGTGAACTGGGAGATCAAAGGATAGAGGATACATTCCAGAAAGAAATGACCAGATGAACAAAGCCATCAAGGCTAGAATGAGTATCATGTCTACTGGGAGCAGCCAGCAATTCATGTATCTGGAGCTAAACCTGTGAGTCAGGGAGAGGGGGGAGAGATGAAGGCAAGACCTGGTCACTGAAGGCTGTGTGTAGCCCCTATCTGTTGTTCAGAAACCAGTTCATATGTTACCTCCATTAGAATGCTCATAAATCCATCTCAAGGTGTTTCCATGACCTATGTGCACAAATTCTCCAAGTACTAAGTGGTGTGGGGGAAGGTCAGAGTAAATAAAAGGTTCAGGATAAGACAGAAAATGAGGAGATAGTTGATATTCAATTCAGTAGACCTTTATTAACCACCTACTGTCTATAAGGTGCTAGGACAGGATTTATAAGAGATGCAAAATTGGATAGACTCCAAACTCTTAACTTGGCATTCATTAATATCTATCCAATATACTCCCCTCTGCATGTTAGGTAACTTCAGTTGTTGTTATATTTATAGTAAAGATTTGAATGATTTGAGCAATTTGCAACAATTTAAAATGATTTCAAGTTACACTAAGTACCCTTCAAAAATATTGGCTTTGGGCAATTTTTTAAAGATTTTAAAAAATTGCTTCAAATTAGGTTTTCATCTTTATTTTCTTAAAATTGTTTCCTAAATGTTTATGGAAGTAGTCCTGATTAAATAAATGCTACCATGTT